CGCAGAGGGATAGATCGCAGAGGGCCGAAGGCGTAGGAGGAGTAGCAGAGCGCGGTAAAGGAGGAGGCAGGGATGCGAAGCCCAGACAGCTCGAAGGTATTTGCAGAGGGGATGCGGAGGGTCTGAGATAGATAGGTTGGCAGATGCTAGGGCAGTGAGGAGCACCGGATGTGCATAGGAGCGAGTGACCTTACGTGGCTCGTGGAAGTCTTGAACATGTTGAGGACTGACCACTGGCAAGCGGATGCATGGCGCAGGACGTCAAGGCGACGGAAGAGCAGTGACGAGCAGAGATGGAAGCGAAATAGGCATGCGGGACTAGGTCGATACGTGGCGATGAGGGTAGCGATCTAGTCGCAGGAATCCGCGTATGAGTGGTGCATGAGGCGTCGGAGAGGGGGACGCCAGTAAGTATGATAGTGCGGGGATATTAAGGTGAACATGTCATCATGCGTCTCCAGGTGACGGAGCGAGAGGCAAGCCTCCGGACAGTGAAGGATGACTATAACGGAGTCTTCACATGATGGTAGAGGCATTGGAGAGAGCGATGAGAGGAGCGCGTGCACGGCAGTGAGTCGCTGCGGGAGAAGGCCATAGGCGGATAAGATGGTATGGCACTTATGGTGATGAGCGCCTACATAGGCAGGCAGTAGTTCGACGAAGAGTGCAGCGATGAGCAGTCAGTGAGTAACAAAAGGGCTCGTGGATATGGTCTGCGCCATACTATGCAGAGGTCCGTGATTTGTCGATACTCCCAGACCAAAGTAATAGCCCACCTTCGATGCGTCTGTCATGCGAGAGGTAGTCGGTAAGAGAGCAAGAATGGAAGCGATGAGCCGTTGCTTATTTTCGAGAGGATGGGTTGAGGAAAAGCAGCGAATCGACGAGGGAGGGGGATGGTAGCGTATGGGACTAAGGCGGCGATAGGGCAGTTGAGGGGATGCGTATGGTGGAGCGAGAGCACAGGCGCGGGCGATAGGAGAAGGAGAAGAAGGAAGAGTCAGAAGGCCGTGACCTGGACGAGGAAACGACCATCAGGAAGCAGGCGGAGCACATAGATGAAGCGGCATCTGCGGAGACGAGGAGTGAAGGTGCTGCTCGATGAGTTAGTAGACTGCAGGGCATCTGGACTCGCGTGTAGTGTCATTTGGAGCGCGCGCGAGGCTGAGAAAGCAGGCCACGAAAGAATAGGACGAGAGCAGTGATTAGAAGAAGTGTCGGCCGCTCAGCTGGGAGAGGTGCGTTGACGGAGGAGAAGACCGAGACGTGCCTCTATACAACGTCCAGACGAGAGCAGTGATGGGGGTATTGCCCTCAGAATTGGCGTGAAGATCAGGGTAGATGGAGCCTATTCTTGAACGAAACTAGAGAAGATTCGCCAGACTAAAGGTAAAGAAGGGAGAGAAGAACGCCGAGGGCGAGCAATTAAATAAAGTACGAGACCCCGGAGCGCGAAGAAACAAGCGAAGACACAAGAAGAAAATAATAGCAAGAAAAAGCCGATGGAAAAGAATAAAAAGAACAAGACGGAGAAGACGAAAAAAGAGGTAACAAAAAAGGAGTATGATGAATATGAAAAGAAAAAAAATGGAAGAAAAAGGGGAAGAAGTCCAACAACAACAAAACTGAAAAGAAGAAACAAAAAAACAAGAGAAGGAGGAGGAGGAATAAGACTAAGAAAAAAGTTGAAGGAGAAAAAAAGAAAACAAAAGAGTAAAGAAGAACATGAGTATAGAGAAAATAAGTTTAGAGAGAAGAAGAAGAAGAAGAAGAAAGATGATACACTTGCTGAATCTTTCATCCGCGAGAAAGTAAACAGTTTAATCTGAAGGAAATTCGTTTAAGCTGTTCTATGATAGATGTAAACAGCTAAATGGTTGGAAGATTTGTACAGGAAGACTTTGAATATTAGAACTAGAAAGTAAGTTAAGGGATGATTATGATATCCTAATTTTTTTTTTTTTCTTTCGCTACGTAACGTAACTAAAACTAAAAAAAAAAAGACACACACACACGAAAAAACAAAAAATCTAGAGAGAAGAGAGAGAAAAAAAAAACACCGTGACTAATAATTCCAATACCGTTTTTCTTTTCTTTTTCTTTCGTTTTTCTCTCTCTCTCTCTCACCGAAACCTCCGGGAAGCGCCAGCATTCCAACCCCTCCTCCTGGCATCAAGCTCGGAATTAATAAATTAAAAAATCGTTCCCGCCTCAGATAAAGCGAGCGACCGGACCAGCCCCGGCAGGTACCACTTGACACAGGAGGAAAGTTAACCCACAGGTCTTCATTCCTGGGTTTTTGCGTCCATGCACCAACTATAACACAGGCGGTGGGTGGATGCCGGGTGGGTAGCAGGGAGCGGGGTGCGTGAGATAGCGTGGGAGTGCGAGGTGGCGAGTGAGAGTGGTTGGGAGTGGTTGGCAGTGGGTTGGGAGATAGTGGTAGTAGTTGAGTCTTGGGTGGATGGCGTGTGAGAGTGGTTGAGCGTGGGTGGCGGAG